GCAATCTCACGGATTGTTAGTCCATTTTCACGATGGGCCTGAATTTTTCCATGCGCAAACTCCGTAAGAGTGGTCGATTTCAGCGTTTTCTGAAAATTTAATAATTCTAAAAACAAAATTTTCGGTCATAATATAGATTAATTTGATAAGCGTTATATTATAAGAATGGTAATATTTGGTTTAAAAACTTTCGGAGCCAGCGAACGGAAAAACAATCAGCTTGTCCTTGTAAATATTTCCTTCTAAGCAGATGAAAAGAGTCGATATCCCGCGTATAAAGACTAGTCAACACTGAAACTGTGTAGTAAATGTGAGATGACATTAAACACACAAAACTGGAAAACAGAAGTTTTGCGTAAATAAAACTAATTTTTAAGAATTGCAAATAGACAGTCCTTATATTTATTTCGCTCTGTGTATTGATAACAAAATTTCGACATATTTACAAAAAGGTGACAAAGTTTAGCTCTGAACTTCTGATTTAACTTTATACGTTAGTCCGTCAATATTTTGAGCTTTTTGGTTGCCAATTGTTTAGCTGAGTTAACAGATCTTTCGCAAAGTTAGCTTTGATTAATTGCAAATGAAGACCATTGAGGACATCGATAACTAATGAATTGCTGAGTTATTTTTGTTTGCCCAACATCGGAAGTAATGTTCATAAGCATTGATGTCTCATTGAAGCTAAATTTAGGCATCAATGCTTCATGGATGTTTCCAATTAGTTTTACTGATTTATATTGTTTTTATGTAGCATTGAAGTAATGAGAATAAACACAACTTCAAATTGAATACCATAATTCATAGAAAAATTGCTCACATGAAACGTAAATATGGAAATTACTTCTTACATTAAAGAAAATTGACAAACTTATGGTATTAAAATCAAAAGTCTATGATATTGATGTCGTTCCGCATGATTACTTATTATTTTGAGTGTTTTGTTTAGTTTTTGGACATTTCTGAAATTTTATTGGAAAATATAGATATTTGTGAAATGGATAAACCCCTCAAATGACTTTAGAGTGACTTTTTATGAGATATTCTTATCAAATTTGGGTTGTCTAAATCCTTGTACGAAATATATTTTCAGCAGATATTATGAAAAATATATTTTTTTTATTGCAGTTGTGTCATTTTTTATATCACTGGTAATTTCACAGAAAATCTTCAATTTCTAACATTGGAAACATTTTACCAGAGACAAACAAACATAACTCTATCATATTTTTTATCCAACACGTATTTAACTATTTTTCATCGAACAATGCATTATGTATGTTTGTCTGTGATTTTAACATATTTAAAAATAATGTGTGACGCTTAGTTCAACGAAAAATGTGACTATAAAAAATAGCTGGTTCCAAAATAAAAATAAAAAATAAGTATAATCATGGTTCCAAATTTTTAGATAGGATTTCCGCGAATTCCATGCAAAATATAAAATACCAGTCAGATGTGACAGCCGTGAAATTTGTTTAAGAGTTTTTTATCACAGCTTTTCAAATAGGATCGAAATCGATGTATCCATAGTCACACTTGTTAAGTTTTTGGATGTGTTTATAATTTATTATACATGTAATGCTCATGTTCATAGTTTGTCATACAAGTGTATCCGCGGCATAAAGTTGATAAACCATTCGTAAACAACTCTCCTTAATGAAAAAAATCTTTGCAATGATATTACGTAAGGGAACATCCATCCGACTCAAACAAGACCCACTACAATAGTCGCCAAAACAGAGAGGTGAAGTGTGTAGATTTGACTGATACCAACCGCTTCCACCCACTCACACTACATACACTGCATGGTGCTGGAGCTAATATATCAGGCGTAATGCAAATCCCTTTCGGAACTAACATCGACTTGTAGGACAGATACACAAGTTACACAAGCTGATTAAAATCGAGCTCAGACTTAGATCGCAACCCTTGGATCGAAACATCTGAGATGCTAAAACAGTAATCAGCCCTTTTCTCCAAGACTTCTAAGCCGAAATACAACTTTCAATTAATTACTGCAGTCGAATGTCTAAGTAACATGTTCAATAATTGTTGGGACATTAGGCCGAATGTTACCAAGCCAATTTTATAATATCGAATTGATGGACAATTTTTCGTGACACAATATCTTCGAATAAAGAAAAAATATACCGATTATGGACTTAGTAAAGCGTTGTCATGTAACAAATATAGTAAACTTTAATGTTTTACCACATTAATCTAATAATTAATTGCAGTGGAAATTTACACAACAGGAAAATATCATAACAGGATACATTGATTTTATGTCGTATAATATGGTAACGATTGAATAGCTTTTCACGAGTTTTTATCTAACCATTGCTTAACAAAATAAAATAATCCTCCCTTTAGGACCACTCCAAAAAAAATTGCTAGCTACGCCAATTCAAATTACATCAGATCTCAAAAACAAGATCAATGACAGCCAAACCGAGAACTCTGAACCACATTGGCCACGTCCGGCCATGCTCCGGATACCTCGGGGAACTAGTCAGTTCATGACTAGGACCAAAACCCATTATGCAACACATCAAATTACATCAGAATTCAAACACAAGATCGGTTGTCCAGGACACATTGGCTACATCCGGCTATATTCCGGGTACCCCCGAGAATGTTGCCAGTTCATGAATAGGATCAAAACTCATCCTGCGACACTTCAAGTTACATCAGAATTACAAAATAAGATGACAGCCATACCCAGTGCTTGGACCACATTGGTCACATCCGATCGAAAAGCAAGTACGAGAACAGACTTATTGTTCAGGATACCAATATCACATTCCATAAGGGTAGCGGAAAACAGTAAAAATTCTTTCTGTGATACATACTTGACTTCTCTGACATGAAGCGGGAGTTGTTTAGCTTCTAGGGCTGTGCTCCATTTGGTGAATTTTCACCTAAATTTGACAGATGTAATTTTTAATTCTGATATTTCTTATTTCTGACAGACAAAGAATCAATTTTGACAAACACTTCCATGAAATACGGTCCATCAACAACAGGGGGATTTTCAAATATTTTAGTTTATTTTCGAAATGTATATTTTAAATGAAACTTCACCAAATGGAACACAACATTGATAAATACTTCCTACCCAAACAACACACATGTTCTATAGCAGTGGTCATGGTTTCCTGAATTTATTTGCGATCTTTGGGGCGTTTATGATGTGCGTAGGCACATTCGGGGGGTTTAGCGAGTATCTACCCTCCATAAATGTATATAAACTTGTATGGACGATTGCCTATGCAGGGGCAGGGGGGGGGGGGTGTTTAAAATCTTTAAAAGCTGTCTACGTAGTTTATGAGTAGCTCGTTGCCGTAAAAAATTCTAATTAAGCTGTGTCCTATATGTCGAATTAAATTTTACCCGGAGTTAAAAGTGACAGTTTGAAAATAATATTCCATGTTCGTAAATCGCTGTGTTATCTAGTATGTTATTCATTGACCGGTTTTCGAGCAGCACTCAGCCACGGTTGTCAAAATCGAACTTCATTTCTATCCCGCCGCAGAGTAAACAGCTCCCACTGCTTGTCTGGGGAGTATTAACAACTAACCATTACAGTCCAATTATCCGAAACCTTTTGACCCGACCGGTTTCTCGCAGCTAAGACCAGAACCTGTAGAACCAGGAATGTGTTCATGCATGACCAGCATGTACGTCAATTTAACATTTTCCTGATTCTCACTGCTCTTTCGATCTATATTGTTGTCCCCAAAAACTATGCCAAATTTTAACGAATTCGTATATGATTTGGATTTGTGGACAACTTTAAAGCTTGTATGGGAAAATGTATGTAACATTGCAAGTTTTATAGAGGTTTTAAAGCATGCTATAAGTCTTAATTATGATACAGAACACTCATAAAACCAAAATCGTTACTTGTGTATTCATTTGCATGTCAAAAATTAAAAAAATTACTAAATTTTGACCAAATTACCAAATTTGACCAGTTCATATAAGTTGCTATACTGTTATCCGTAAGTTTCTATAAAAAGTAGGAATTTCATTAGCTTTAAATTCTTCTAAAGATGGTCGATAAGGTGGTTCAAAATATCAAATTTTTCTCCACCGACTCTATTTGAAATCAGCCATAGAGCTTCAGCTTCAACTACAAATGGTACCACGATGAAACAATCCCGTATGATAACGAAGCAATCAAGTACAACGCATGTTATCAGCTACGTTTGCGCGTAACATGTGAAGGTTTCGTTTGGTAATCAATCTCAATTGATAAGATTCACTCTTCCATCCCTACCAAGAGGGATATGAGTGACATATCTATCTTCTTCTTCATATTTTTAAGTTTTAATTGCAATTTTGCGTTTGTTCTCAACTTATAATTCATTGAGCCCTTCCACATTGAGAGCTTTGTAGGCATATACCTCTATGTCCAGAGCAATCGAGCAATCCTCCAACTCGATAAATTCTTTGACTAGATCGGGATTGGATCCACCGCCACTCCGGAATGATATATTTCACGCTTTCAGTGACAACGATAACGGCTAGCGGGACGCCTGCACGAACCGAAAATTAATTATTTCATGCATGTGTTTCACTTATACATTTTTGCTAAAATATCAACCCTATACATTCCATTAGACAAACCACATAGGACCTATAAGAATGCATAAACGGTATGTGTGTACATTTTTGGACATTTGTTTTGACCCATGATCAACTTTTTTTAAGGCGTCTGCTTATATTAAATGACATATATTATATGAATAATTACCAATAGGAATTTGCCAACAGGTATAAGGGGTTTTCTATCCATATACACACGTGACAGTGTAAAAATTAAATACACCGACAGTAATCGTCATCGCTTCCCGCCGCTACCGAATCAAAATCAGCAATCAGCAGACAGTACCCCATTACTCTGAATGACGAAATTACACTTGAATAGAGCTAACTGACTCAGCTGGTGCGAAATCACCAACATCATGACTGTCAGCTAGCATCAAACGATTTAGTCAAATTTCAGCGTTTGTCTATAATAGACGTACGGGACTCGTTTGGCCAGTTAGCCAATTCATTTTTCGGTTTCACATATAATCTTCTCGTTCGGGAATCCGCAACTCTTTGCACATACCTAAACTACTAACATGGCGTTCAACAAAGATGAAATGCACGCGCCAAAGTGGATGGACAGTGCCTTTTTCGAAAAAGTACTCAAACATTCGGAAAACGATGCAGGTCTGTTGGTGAGGGAGAGTAAGATAGTTCCGGGTACCAAACCGGGAGATCATTTTGCCAGCATCATATTTCGCGCAGCTGTCAGCTTCAAAAGTCGCGGAAAGGACCAGCATATTTCGCTGATCATCAAAACGATTCCCGAACAGGAGGGTATGAAGCGTGACATTCTGAAGGATGGGGATATTTTCGAAACCGAAACTATCATGTACCAATCTGTGATACCGGAAATGGAACGGCTGCTCCAATCGGCAGGAGATGGGACAGAGTTTGGACCAAGGTAAGATCAAGGTTACTCGTATACGGAAGATGACGTAGCTGTAATTGCTAGTTGTTTGAGTGTTTGGGTTGTACCGACTATCGCTCGTATGGTTTCCATGATTTATGTGTGACGGAAATGTGTTGTCCTTCAATTTCATCTCAGTTGATGTCATTTGAGAGATTCGACGGGAACTATGTCGCAGAACGTTTCACTGCGACATTTCTAGTGTGCTAGTAAAGTCGCATTGATACCTTCAGAGGCATGGTGCCAATCGTCACTGTTTATTTCTCTTATCTTAAAATAATTAAGACAATAAAAATTACGATGGCACACGAACAAACAGTTTCACCGTATATGGCAGTAGAGATTAGATAAATGGATGATTCAGGCACTGATAATATTTTGATGTTAATTTTCTTACGCTCATTTCGTAAAAATGGGTTTCGCAGATGAAACAATTATTTGTGTTAGCCGCGCGAAACATTTGTATTGAGCAGTTCCACGCAATTGACCAGATTTAAGACTTTCCGATTTAAATATAACATTATCTATGTTTGCGATAGCTGGGAATATGAATCTTCCATAAATATTAAGACCATTCAACTCAAGCGTCATATATATTTTTAAAAAGGCGTATGTATTTTCAAAAACAGTTAAGCGGTGCCGGTGGTGTAGTGGTAAGCGTGATTGCCTCCCACCCTATAGGTAGTAGTACTAGAACGGAAAACAAGATCCACGGAAAACAAATCAAGGAAAAAATATCAAGAGCCGTGTGTTTAAAACTATTGATTGTAATGAAATCGTGTCTATGGACAAGTTGAAAATAATTGACCTTTTTTTAAAAATTTGTTTAAAAAAACTTAAATCTAAATTTAAATAAAAAAACGTTAACATGTTTTTTTTTTTCTAGCTAAAATAGAAGTAAACTAGAGACTTTTGTAAACAATTCTGGGATGGTGTAAGATGATGTAAATAGATTTCAAAGAATATCAACTTTTCATGGATTTTTTAAAGTCTATTGAAAGCATAGTTTATTGTAAAGTATGAATTATAACCACTTGTAACGATTGCTGATGTCATTTTAAACAAAAATGTTCATGGTGATCATCTTTCTAAATTCAACCATTTTCAATATATTTGAAAATAAATTCAAATACGTTTTTTCCTGTGTACAAACCTTTTTCATATATTTGTCGTTTTGCGACATCGATTGTTTATGTTTTTGAGCAATTGTATTTAATTTCCAACGATTTAGCCTTTTACACATTGAAGATTCAACCAACCAGTTTGACGGGGTTCAAAATATCTTGAAAATCGTTGCATTTAGAAAGATGATCAAAATAAGCCTTGATGTTTAAAATGACATTAAAAATCGTAGTAAGTGATTAAATTCATACTTTTCATTTGAAAATATAGAGTTTCAAAAATCCATGAAAAGTTTGTTCTTCTTTCATGAAAAGTTTGTCTTTGTTAATAAATGTTACACCATCTCAGAATCATTTTTTAAATGAATCATGCATTGCCACTTTTGCTGAGATCTCAGTGAAACTTATTTTTGCCAAGATTTGCACAGCCGAGCTCGGTAGAAAAAATGTGAACGGCTAAAAATTTCTATAATAAAGTATTTAAAACAATGTTGCATGTTCTCTTTAATCACCGTGTTAGGTGTTTGACGAGAAAGATCATGGATTCGAACATTAACCGCTTCATCTTCTACGTACACAGGAATTTTGTACTCCTTTTGGTCACACTTCATTGTGTGCTGTAGATTGTGCGATTTATAGTAGCTCTTGGCTGCGCTTCATCTACCATCACGACGTAAACACAATTCCGAACATTATGGAACTGAATGTCTATTGCGTCCGCAATGTTGAACTTCATGTTCCCGTAAATGAACTTTTGTACAACAGGGTCGCTTCGGAGGTACACTGAAATCCACTACCAATGTGTTCTCACGTTTTGCACTCATCCTTAGAGAAACCCATCCAATTGTAAAGCGACGCCGTAGCTGATATAAAAAATACGTCTTTCCAACACCGGACTTGACTGTCAGCTGACAACGAATATGTTTGGACATGTTTCGATGCAAAATACATAGTTAAGGTCGTGATTGATCTCATAGATCGACACAATTGATATCCAGAATGGTTTGAGGAACCTAAAATATCTGATAAATATACATGGAAATAAATTGGAAATGATGATCATAGACTTTATGAATATCGTTAGACATGTATCGTAGCTTTTGACACTGCTCAGGTCATGTTTGATTTTATAGATCATCTGATCTAAATTCTAGAACACTTGGTACACATGGAAATAGATCGTAAATAATGTGCATAGACTCTTTAAATATGTTTTGATGCTATTGTCATTGTTGAAGTTGTAGTTGATTTAGTAGATTACTTTGCCTGGACTCTGGACAACGACTGGAACGTCTGAGGGTCTCAGGGTAACGACACATCCTTATCCCCATTTAATTTATCTACAAATTTTTCAAACATATCCCCATGAATGAAAAAAATCCAGGAGATTTTATTTTTATTCCATTCATTCCGTTTCTATTCCTATTCTTGCCTATCAATGTGTTGCATGACATCCTAAATATCCTTATGTATCCTTCTGTCTAATCTGATTTATTCTTATGATCGCGCTTGCATGCCAGAAGTGACACTCCCTAGATGCACATGAGAATAGATCGTGCATGATGCGCATTGGATGTTTATGTTTGATTGATCCAACATCATAAATTGATTTGATTGATCCAAATCAAAAATTTCTTGGCGTTTCAAGCAATTTATTTGAAGTCTGCTTTAAGGTATGTTTCATCGTCCATTATACAGCAGTGTGGTTTTGTCAACATGTCTGTGTCCAATTGGCAAATCAAAGTTGGCACTCGTGAAGAAAAGAAGAACTATGAGAGTGATGATGGTTTCAAAATTTTACACGGTTAGGTATACAAATGCAATTTTAAAATGCTTTTATTTTGCAAATGGAGCATTATATTTAAATCTGGTTGATGCTACGTTAGTAGAAAACTTAAGGACTACTCAATAGACATATGATATAGAAAAAAATAATTTCTTTTCGTATTTGTATGTGTATACATGGAGTTCAGCTTTTCTACCACTATAGCAGCAACCAAATTTAAATAAAATGCTCCATTTGCAAAATAAACGCATTTTAAGATTACACTCGTATACCTCCCCGTGAAAAATTTTGAAACCATCATCGCTTTCAAAGTTCTTCTATTCTCCACGAGTACCAACTTTGATTTGCCAATTCTGTGGTACATTGCGATGGGGTGCTTTCTGAAGCTTAAATGAACGTAGTCCTGCTCGTTTCTTGGCTTTCTGCGCGAAACTTTTTCTCAGGTGCAGTTTTTTTTTGAATAATAGGGTTTGCGTTAAAAGGTAGCAACCACTCGCTTGTGATCTTCAACGCACGGGTCACAATAGGCGAATCCAATAGAAACTAAGCGATTGTTTCAGCCACTGGCGATGAATAGGGGAACTCTCAAAAGAGTGATGAGGGTGGAAATTTTCACCGTGAAGCATAGGAAGAGGAAAATATTTTAACCTTTTCTGATTAATTTATCCACCGCAGGTGCTTGAAATCATCATCCACGTGGAATATTTTGTTTTCTGTATCGGGTTATCGGGTTTGCAGTGATCCGGCTGGTGCTTGTGTATATTTTTGATAAGAAAAATTAAGATTTATAAAATTGTCCCAGCGGTTATGATTTTCCGGATTTTTAATGTGTGGTTATTTCAGCTGTAAATCAGTTCAGATATGTAGATAATCAAAAAATAAGACCACTCCCCATGGAAATTTGCAAGTTGTGCAATAAAATGTAATTTGTAGTTTTGAAAATCGTCATTATGATGTAAACAAATGGATTGGATGACATTGCCTCTCGAAATCGGCTAGCGCACTCTACATTGGCGGTACATGAAAAGAGCCTATTTCTTGCACTCACTTGCTTCCGATCGACAGTTTAATGTTCTCCGAAACGTTTTATGACACGAGCTACTAGAAATTTCACAACGAAACTCATGCAGTTTGCACAATACATTCTGAGGCCATCTCACCCAAAATTTCATGAAATTTAACCCAAAGGGCAAAATGTTACAAACATTAATCACAGCACGTATTAGCTGCAGACGTAACTCTTTGAAAAAGTTTTTCTTGAAAACATAGTATCTCAAAACAAGCTTGCTCGCTAACTCACAAACAATATTGCATAAAAGTTCTATAGAATGTAGGAAAACGTCAAAGTGATCCAATGCCAGCGCTGCGGCGAATAGTTCGCGGAACTGATAATATTCAAATCAACCGTTAAATGCGTGAACGAAGAAACACAATGAAGAGTTGCGTCTGTTTGTCTGTGCTTTAGAAATCCTGGCGATGCGTTTAAGCCCTGATATTGAACGGATTTTCCAAGCATGATTCCTTTGTATCGCTATAATGTTGCGAAAAATAAATGTTTCATTTACTCGAAGAAATTTCAGCTTCTACAAGATAACACAATAATTTATGGAGATTTATAACATAGGGGAAATGACGGCTTCGGCATGCCAGACTATTTTCGGCAACCCAAATTGAAACACTATTTTCACTGGATCTTACGAAAACACTTCGCTGAATGCATGCAAACGATTCTTTATGCTTTCAGCTTCAATTTGACTATATTTTTACCACTGAGAAAAAGCAATCTAGCAAGGTTTTCTTGAAATGAAACACACGCACTACAAATTGTAGCTGATTTCGAGTTGCCGATAATAGAACAGCAGATTTACATGCAGTTCAAATGGAACGGTTGCCGAAGAAAAACTGGCTGCCGACAATACTCGCTCTCACTAGAGAAGATTGGAGCTTTGTAAAAGCGTTTCAAAACAGTTTTTGACAATTCTTTCGACTGAAATTGTTAGAGCAGCTGGCAGCAAAAGATTGTAAACAAACCAATACTGCATATGTGTGCGTTCCTTAGAGAAAAAGGCTATAGAAAGAAGGTCGCTGCTTAGGTTGCCGAGAATACGTAAATTCCCCTACTCGATTTTTACGTCCGTGACTGCTTGAAACCTAAAACGTAAGAAATTTCAAATTCTTCTATCAATACAAGCTGACATGTGTACATTCTTTAAAACAAAAATACTAGAATGTATATATATATATATTAATTTACCCATTGAGTATTGCATACAAGCATGGGAAAAACCGTTTCATTTTGCATGAACTACTCACTCAAACGCTAGCGCATTGATTTTATCGTATTCTCATTGTATTCTGTTGAGTGAACTGAGTGAGAATTTTGCAGAAAGAGTCACTTTTTATTTTCTAGCTTTAAACATAAATTAACATATTTAAATTAGTATTAACATGGAGAAATGTGGTATACTGTAACACATAAACGTAAGCATCACGTAAATACTGTAAAACTACTGTGACCAAGTAAACTGATTTAAATCACTGAGCCAAAAAAAATTCTCCCTCGGCTATTTAAATCGTTAGCGTTCAATTTTGACGCATTCAATCGGAGTCTCCTAGCGGCGCCGGTGATGTAGTGGTAAGCGTGATTGCCTCTCACCCCAGCAGGCCTGACCCCGGGATTTTCTGAGGCATAACATCTCTGATCGCGCCTTCCTTCGGAAGGGAAGTAAAGCCGTTGGTCCCCGTTTCATGAGATGATGGGTCGATAGGCAGGGTTCAGGTGCGGGAGCTGCCTCCCTGGCGTCGGTGGCATTGCACAGTGGTACAGAATGCAGATTTAAGTGGAAGGATATGTTTTGAGCCTGAAATTACAAATTAGACTAAAAGTTTTTTCTACAAAGTTGTTCCTTATAGTTAGGCCCTCATTTTTATGACAATGAATTCTAGGGTGGTTCTTATAATCACTAAAATACAAAATCAAACTTTTTTGTTTGAAGAAATTAAGGTATACATTTTTGGACAAAGTTATAGCTGAGCTAATTTCAAGCAACTTTGTCTGAAAAAAACTTTTTTCCATCTTGACCGATTTAGAGCTATTTTCTTGAGTTTAGTTTAGTCTCAGCAAAGGTTTCTTGAAATAACTTTTAGATCTTTAAAAGGCGCAAATTTTTGCCGCACCAAGCTTGTCAATATATTTCACCGATCAAGAGTTATTGACGTTTTTCCACTAAAAATATGTCTTTTCAAATGTTAATATCTCTGGTTGGGGCAAACAAAAAAAAAGTTTTTTACGGTATTTGAAAGAGCGTATGTTATACTCAATAATATGAAAAAATTGGAGGTGTGTTATTTTTTAAACTCGTATAAAATCAATTTGAATTTATTCATATTTTTTACTATAACTATTTTTTACTTCTACTGTCAACTTGACCACTTTGTCAAGCAGTTTTGGCGTGACTTTCTACAAGCGATATCACAAAACTGAACCAACTAATTTCTATTTTTTTATGAAACGCACAAATGTTGACTACTTTTCTCATGATTCTAGAAGAAAAAATCTCAAAATAATGTTTTATTTCAAAGTTCGAGTGGTAGTAAACGTCATTTTAACTGCTCGAATGAAGTGTTTAGTTCCGAGTCTATCTGCATAGTCACTTGGTTGGAATAATTTACACTCGTTCAGCAATCTGTTTGCAGGTGAGGATGGCTATTTATGTGGTGCTCGCACGAGTGAATGAATTTTCCCATGCTTGATTGCATACATGTGAAGTCGGTGACTGTCTACCCTGTATAGAGCAGTTCCATGCCAAAGAGCAACAAACATTGAATATTTGACTCAACCTTCTCGGATTTGCAGGAAACTTTGCATTTTTTTTTTGTTATGGACAATCATTCACATTTCTGCTAAAATTCTACCATTTTGAATCTTGCATTTTTTTCAAAATTTTTAATATATCATAGAACGAAAACGTCAATTATAACCGGCATGACGTCTGCGACAAAGCTGTAGGGAAAAATAAAGCATTTATAAAAAAAAGAAAAAAAAAAATGTCTCTCTTTATCTCTGATGATTGCATATTTTACCTTCATCCTTCCTTCCAGGCTTCTCTACTCGTCTAAGGATCCCACGTGGGTGATGGTTTTTGAGGATCTTACCAAACGCGATTACCAGATGCAATACAGCCAGCTGAACCTAGATGAGGCAAAAATAGTGTACGCTAAGCTGGCCCGTTGGCATGCCGCCTCCCTGTACCTTTCCAATACGGTGAGAATTTGTAAAAATGACCTTCGTAAAAAAAAAACACGTTTAACTAGATCTCAATTTCCATGTAGGTGCCAATCATCTCGAAGTTGGACAAGGGTCTTGGAAATTTGATGAATAGCGAATTTAGTGAAGTTTGGATTGGACACATTGCTACACTGGCTAAGCTGTGTCGCGGATGGCCCGGTTACGAAACCTTCGGCGAACGTTTAGACAATATGAAGGGTACAATTTTGAACAAACTGCAGGATATTTACAAATTGAAGGATTCAAATCTGATAAACGTGCTAAATCATGGTGATCTACATTCCAAGAATATGATGTTCAAAATTGACGATGGAGTCACAAAAGATATTCTGCTGGTTAGTATGCAGCTTATTAATTGTAGGTCTGTGATTGTCTAACAGTACATGAACAATCTTCACAGCTTGACTATCAGATCAGTTGCTGGGGTAGTCCTGCAATCGACATCATATATTCACTGTACAACACATGCTCCGTCGAGACGAGAGATAATCATCGGGACGAGCTTATCAAATTCTACCATGATGAGTTCACCGCGGCTTTGGGCAAGTTTGGCTATCTCAAAAAAATTCCAACACTGGTCGACTTACACGTGGAAGTGTTGAAATGTGGTTACTTGGGTATGAGCTTCCCATTTATAGTCTCATATTGCAACAATCTAAACAAATAAATCTAATCATTTTCAGAAACGTTCCTGTCGTGCACTTTCCTGCCCTTCATGATTTTGCCTTTCGATGAGCTGATGCCGAAGAACGAAACCAACCCAGAAGAAGGTGTTGAACTTGACTTTGCTGATAAGGAGAAAATGCAAGAGATGATGGAACGAGTGTTCCAGCATCCAAAGTATGTCGCCATCATCCAGAGATATTTGCCTACGCTGCTACACAAAGGACTGTTGGAGGCATAAAAAATTGGATATTATCAACAATTTAGTAATTTGTCTAGAATGAAACTAATCGCAATTCAAAAGTATCATGATAATATTCGTTCTCGAGCGTTTATACCTAATACATCAAATGACATAAGTCTTATGAGCTTCATATTGAAACCAGCCATCCACTTATAGCTTTGGGACCTTGACATGTTAATCAGTATTTTTTAGATTAAGGTTTCGAACTGTAAGTAAGTGCTGATATTTTATCAGTTTTTTTTTTGTACACTTGCACTCTAATATCTTGCTATAAAATTAAAACCAAAAAACTGTTAACTACTGGTAATGGTAATTATCATGATATTTTTTAAATAATGAGAATGTGTTCACTTTACATCTGATGCTTTTTCCTCAACAATAAATCACCATCCTGAATTCCACAATTTACATTTCGCAACTGAGCAGTTCCACGTCAACTGACGAATTGGTTTTATTTTTCCCTTTCCTAAATGCATAAAACATCGCATAACTGTTTGCAAAAGGCAATGATCCGGGATTCTCGCCTAATTTTTGAAATAACATATTGTTTAATAAATTCTTAAAAAAATTATGTATAGATGATTTCTGAGTTAAAATTGGTCCAACGCGCTTTACGAACTCCGCCGTTTGACTTTCATTATTAATTTTCTTGAGTAGAAATAAATCGGAAATGAATGTTTTTCAACAATAAATTTTAATTTATTTACTTGGAAAGTTTTAATACGTTGAGGACACAGTTTTAATTAACAATCTCTAAATAGCTATTTACTACCAATCTCTAAATATCCATTGATTTATTTTGCGGGAAACGGAAGATGGAAATATTACGCAATGATTTGCTTTGCACTTCAGTTTGAACTTTTGCACACGGTTGCCAAAAAACGTATTGTCCCTCCGCTTATCTAAGGACTCTATAGTATCTATATTTAAAATTCATGGAAAAATGACACCGCTTCGCATTCCACTGTATGAACAGAATCTGTGATGGTCATCGGAAGGCTTTTAAAATATTTTATTTTAAATGCATATTAGGGAAGATGCATAAATGACGTAGCATTTTAGGGTGACCAGCCATGCATAAAAATACGCTACAAGGGGTAGGAGGTCAACGTTTGTTAACGTTTGATGAAACATCAACTTTGGTCCATTTCCCATTATAGAGTGTTTTTCTCCATGGTTTGCCACTAGACTGATGGAAAATATGACATTTTCGCTAGACAGTGCTCAAGCGGTTCCAAATGAGTAGCCCAAGCTTCCAAAATTCAAACTCATTTGGCAAGTAACTGACTTGGCACAAACCATTTGTAGTTTATATGGAAGTTACTATAGGAAAACCAAACATTGTATTCATTATCTTTTTGCCTTTTTTCCTATATTGCGCAGTTAAATAGTTATGTAGCTATTCTAATGGTAAAATTTCTCAGCTACAACTTTGCAAAAGATCGTTTTTCAGCCAAAGGTCGTATTAAATAGTTACTAATTATTCTGCAAATTCTGCAGTATGACATAGCAGCCATGATTTTTGTGCTCTATTCTACGCGCCAACCATTAATAACTTTTGGTCCTTACATTTGCTTTACAAATGCTTCTTATTACAAATGCTTCGTCATTTATGCATCTTCCCTTAGCAAAATATTAATAAATGTTAAAGTTATAATAAAGCTTTTTATTCCATAATGCTCTGGGCTGTTTGTGAAGGTTTTACACAAAAATATGAATTCTGGAAGAACTTGCATGAACGCTACAGCCTTTTGACGTAGGACTACGTCTTTGATTTCTACACTTTGTGAAAACCGAAAATGGAACATGTAACAAATTAAGAAAGATTTTGAACGTTAATAACTCAGCTGCCCCTGGTTTAATTTCAATAATTTTATCACCAATCGATCAAAAATATGGCTACGCATCGATAACAATGCTTCCAAATGTTGATTTTCAACTAGAAACTATTGGAAAACTGGTAAATGTCCAGCATTATCCAAAAGCGTCGAATTAACTAACAAATCACCCAATTACCTACATGCATATGCTGCTTCCCCAGCACAGTCGTCAGAGAGTAGTAAGTAGACGAAACAAGTCGCAGTGGCATTCACCTCCGATCCTCGGACACGTGCGAATAGGGAGGATGGAATTGCGTAATATTTTGCACACTCATCGCCATATTCAGAACCAAACGCAAATTCTTCGAGATAACCACCATCCGTCGTCTGGCTCGCCGTGGCGTTGTCTGACGTATCTCCGGTCTGATTTACGAGGTGTGCTGAAAGTGTTCCTGAAAAATGAGATCCGTGATGCTGTCACCTACACTAAACACGCCAAGCGTAAGTGGCCATGGATGTCCTCTTCAATAAAAGCTTACATCAGTAAAGAGTTGGAATAGAATTTATCTGTGCTTGTTTGTCCATATTCAGAACCACAAGCCCCCAACGACCACACAAAATGCTCTCCAGAGATGTAATCTTGTAACCAAACTTGGAAGCAGGGGTGCAAGTGATTTTGATTGATTCTCTTAATCAACTTTCTCTTTGAAAAAAAATTACTACAAATTTGGTACGCCTACAATTCAAAAACGGAAAGAGTTGAGATAATAGATAATTGATCAATTAAAAGAACTAAATGCTCTTCACATTTATTCCGTCCGCTAGCGGTCCTACGTCAAGCTTTCGTTCGTGCCCCTAGGCACAGACCCTTCTACTTTTATAAGTACTACCGAGACATATCTTATAAGAAACATGTACAGCAGATGTAAGAAATCCACAAGTGTGAATATAATATACATGTTATTTGATATGCGTGCACGATAAGGATGTATCCGAACCGGGCGCTTTCTCCACTTTTAATCCTTTTGCCACGAGTTCCTCATTGGAGACATGATATTCCTTCAGCGTTATCTCCCTCTTCCTCACAGTACGGTGTAGGAGGCCAAATTATTTTACTCCTTTAAATCTTTCTTGGAATATCTGAAGTAGGATTTGAATCCGTAGCTATCACCGTAACTATAAACAGTTCGAAAAAGTAGTGTAAATTTCTGTTCAATATGATGCACATAAATGGAGCTTCACATATCATATAAGTTTACATTATAAATCATGTAAAGTTCTGAAACATTTCATGCAATGTAGCAAATATTGTATATTCAAAAGCCCATCTTTGTAAACAACATTGTTTACAACATTCAAAGTGTTTTTATGTTACTTCATACGCGAAGTTAACGATTTGCAGAGTTGGTTGGAAATGCTAACATGAAGCTTTAGTGTGATAATTTATTAGCTAGAGAATGATCTTTAGACGAGGGTAGGTGGATAGTTCCGTTAGAGTACACAGAAAAAAATAAATTTTAATATTACATCCAAGAGGATGCACTTCAATCATGTTAAAAATCTCATGTAATTTTTATGGCCACAAAAATAAACAAATGCAGTAAAAGCAGTGTAATGTCAGCTCATGCACTGTATTAATGATAATTTTGACCTTTTTTGAAAGTAATATTACACCATATTTTGGACACGATTGAAGTGCATCCACTTTGATGTGATATCAAAATTATTTTTTTGCTGTGTACGGCAGTATGAAAAATGAATAGAAGTTGAAAAAGAGCGAAGGGACATTAGTGCGACAGTTTTTAAAGTCAGACGCACATCTTTTGCCTAACCCGTACGATGTACGCGGAGACTTGAAGTATATCTTCAAGTCTACAGGCTATGCTATGAGAGAATTTTGTTGATATTCTCGTATTTTCAATGATCCTTTCTAAATATCATCATCGAGTTCTCGATCATTTATCACAGAGTGTTAACACTGACACTGACAAGTGTAAGATACATTTATTTGATTATTTGGTGAGAATTCGTTTAAATAACAAAAGCAAAATTAATAAACTATCTGGCATATTTATCGTTCTGTCTATCAAAACGTCCGTATAGAATTGGGAAGCCCTTTGATTAGTTTAAATGAATCCAGATGTAATTATCATGAATGTAAGATTTGGAATAAACAAAGTTATATAAAACCACACAATATGAGAACGCCGAATGGAGTAGAATGCCACTTGGTCTGTTGCGCTAAATGCCATCTTATGTATGCCAAAATATATCAGCGTAGCAATGATTTCACCGTGAAAAATCAATAATATGTTTGTTTCCAATACTTTAGTTCGTAAAATAAGTACAATTGTAATCGTATATATGTATGCAGATCAAACAAGTCTTGTTCAGTCTATAATTCAGTTTTCTTATTGAGATTGAATTAATTGGCATACACTACTAAAATCAATGTTGTATCAAATATCACCCTACAAACATTGGAGGCAGAATAAGAGCTTATGCAGGTAAAAATATGCTTCTTCAGTTTAAAAAAATACTTGTTCTTCTTCTTCTTCTACGCATTTCAAGCTTATAGTATATTAGCTTATTACGTGCTCTCCACTTAGTGTTCTAGATGCATTTCCACAGTTATTAATTGGGAGCTTTCGATGCCTGTACCATTTCTGCATTAGTATAATTGTGTGGCAGTACAATCATGTTCTATGTCCAGGGATGTCGAGAAATGTTCCAATCCGAACAATTCCTAGACCGGACCGGGATTTGAACCAAGCCACCTTCACATCATGGTCTTGCTTTGAAGATGCGCCTTTACCGACTTAGCTAAAGTAAGCCCTGTTTAATCAGTACAAATTGTTTGTTGGACAGCTTTTCTTCTATTTGCCTCCATTTCATTTCATAATTCTAAATAACATAAAGTAATCAAAATTGCAAAGCAAAAAGTATAGAATAATTTGTTATATTGTCAGTCAGCTCAACAAACGTTTTCAACTTCTAACTTCCATTTGCCTAAATAAATCCTGTTGAAAGGTCATGGAAGATTTCACATTCTTAAAAAACTAGAAATCACATTCACAAGGTCAGTCATAGAAACATACACCCTACGCGTGGAGAAAACATTTAAAAAGCAAACATGTGATGATATCTCCCAAATAACTACGTAGGTACCTATGGCAGTCGTCGTATATATGTCTAAAACGAAAACATACTAATGATCAGACAACATCAAAGCAGCATAAATCCCACGAACCAACTTAGCTACGGCTTAGTCACATAGCAGCTTCCCTCCGTTACAGACGCACCGTCGTGTACAGTTTAAATTTAAATCATGGTCTTCTACAAAGATGAAATGCACGCACCATCGTGGTTGGATGGCGCATTTTTCGAAAAAGTGCTCAAACAATCGGAAAACGATCACGATCTATCTGTAAGCGAGTGTACGTTTAGTCCTGGATCGAACGCTGGGGATCATATCATGAGCGTAATTGTACGGGCAACTGTCAAATATCAAAGCCAAGGAAAGCCATGTGAAACCTCGTTGATTATCAAAACAATCCCGGACGAGGCTTGTGAAAGGCGGGATATTCTGTTGAAACATGCACCACTCTTCGACATGGAAACCATCGTCTACCAGACCGTAGTGCCCGAGATGGAAAGGGTGCTGCGAACGATTGGAGCTGATACGGAATTCGGACCGAGGTGAGATCAGTGTTGTTTTTAGTTTGGTGGAAAAACCGGATGATTCAAATATGAAGATTACTGTTAGCGACTCGACATAATTACCATACCATTCATGAGTCAATGGGAAACATAATGTATGTTTGTCCCCACCGAAGGTTCCATGTTTGATACGTAAGAAAAAAAAGTCACATTTCGATCATATACACACGAAGAAGATGCACCATGGTTAAAACACCTCTTTTTGGCTTAAGTTCCTTTTTTAATCCTGTTGATAAAATATGTGATCATTTTTTTTTGTATTTATGCGTTAAAGTGAAGACTTTTTTTTAAATTGTCTATGAAAATCGCTTGGCGAAATAATCTGAAGAGTTTGCTTAAACTAACGTATGATAGGGGAAATGGCTCTAATGTTGACCTAAAGATTGGGCCCATCAATAAAACTCTTCTTTTCTTGAATTTTTCGCATAACAACGCATCATATGGACAACACAAATGGATATTTTTGGTTGCTAATGAAACATTGTTAAAAAATGCTATCCTTTGAAATTTATGTATGGGCCCAATATTAGGGATACTTAGGCTGACTTTAACCGAAGACAACAAATCAAGAAGACTGGAAACTTTGCCAGAATCCAAGCGACAGATACAGTAGCGCTGCGTTTGAGTGAAGGTGGAAGCAACGCATAGAAAAATGAGCAAATACACAAACCCTTCGTCTGAGGATGTAATCTTTGCTATCAAATTCGTTCGAAGCATTTACCTTTGAGCGGCAGATGACGCGATTGTACCTGTCTCATAGCGTTCGTATGAGAAAATGGAAGAGTTGCCAGTCTTCTTGATTTGTTGTCTTCGCTTTAACCCTCGGTAGCCACAATAAAATTGGAGGAATTCCATTTGTTTGCCTTTCGAATCAATTTTGTTCATAATTCCAAATACAATTAAATTCATATGTAGGAAAATTGAATCATTTTCTCCGATAATAACTCAAAGATTTTTGAAAACGGTCATGCAAAGGACTATAATGCATTCACATAAATAAGGTTCCATACTACTTCGTCGTATAAAGCAAATTTGCGTCGTTAAAATAATGAAGAAAATATTCCTCATCATTCTTTGCTCGCATGTTCCATTACGATAGATTAGATAAACTAGCCAATGAGCACAAAATCTTGCTAATAAAGTTTAATTACGATGCGAGTAAAGGCTCAAACGCAATGTGGGCGAAATCAAAACGGAAACGATAAGTTTGACAATTATCTAAAATGACATCAAGATGTCCAATTGAAGTCGATTTGGAATCCATCAGTAATAATAACATGCCGTTTGGTGCTAAACTGCACTAGATTAAGAAAGACTAAGTGCGGGTTGTGCTTAATAGGCTGGAAATAGGGTAGTTAACCCTACTACCACAAATCAGGCAGCTAGAAATTGAGGAAAAGGAATACTGGCTAAACCTCCATGCGCAAACACCGATACCTCTCTGTATTTTTTTATTATATGGAGCATCCATAAATTATGTCACGCGTTTAGAGGGAGGGGGTTTATGAAAACGTTACCAAATGTGACAAACGGGGTGGTTTGTTGAACCGTGACGTTACATCGCCATATTTTTAAGTATTAATTTATGAGATCTTATAGCATGAATACATCATCGATGCTAGTGAAACATTTATGCACTTTCAAAATTCACAGATAACTAATTTGGTGTATGTCTGCTAAGTTGGAATTATCCCGAGCAGCTATCCGCTATCAAAGGGACCTCCTTCAAATGAGTGATATCAGTTTGCTAAGTCATTTGACGAAGGCATGGATCATTTTCATTTGAGAAACGCTTAATATCATTCAATTGAGTGTAACCTACACATAAACGGAGCTCTGGTCGACATTCCAGCGAAAAGGCTAAGCCAACCCGACACCAACATGACTTCTACCAAATCCCAACCCGATGTTGACCTGACATTGACCCGACATAAATCCAAAATTGACCCGACAACAACACGACATTGAGTCGACATAAACGTTAAATTTGCCTTACATTGATTCGTCATCGAATCGACTTGTCTGTTCGGGAACATTTTGCTGGGTTTCTTCCATACTCCACTGTCGTATATCAAATGATAGCGAGTGACTCAATTGACAGTGACGATAAGCTTCAAATGAGAAAGTGGTTCTTCAAATTATGGTCATGTGAGAATTCGTTGATTGAATGATTGTATTGGTTCATCTTCAATTAACAAATAAATAAAAATTAACAGCAGTGAACCCGAGAATTCAACAATTGGGTTCTTTAATTTTTGAAAAATATATCGGTTTTTATATATCATCTAAAAAAGCTTCGTTTTCTCAGCACAGCCATATTTTTTCCGAACCCACACACTTTCATCTCGATTTTTAAATCAATATTTAAAGCAAAATAATAACAACACTGTTTGACACTAAACTGACAAACTGATAGCTCGCTCCCATACAAAGTGACACCGAGGGGCGCTAATAAGTTGATTTTTGCAAATGTTATCATTCTTATTTAAAATAGTTCCAGTGTACCAAAATTGATGAAATTTTGGGTTTGGGTTCCACTTCTAATGCAGATTACGAATATGCATTTACCTCAATACCCTTAAAGAACCCAATTAGGAATAACAAAGAGGGAAGTTCCGTGAACTAGTTGAAAAAAACATTAGAAACATTGAGAGCTTCGTGAACTAGTAATTAGTAAAAAAAAAACACAAAAGGGTCGTAAGATCCATGAATTAGCCAGGGCTTTCGTCGGACTTTTTGGATGTTTCGTGTACATGTAGTAACATCCGTAAGCGTGTCGAAAGAACATATCGAAAGTTCTATGAAATTTTCAGAAGTTCTGTAAACAATAGGGTAAGTCAAACTTGCCAGATGTTTCGAGTTGTTCCTGGAGCTGTCGGAGAATTGCGGAGAATATGTTTGAGATGTCGAAAATGGAAATTCTATGCACTTGGGTAGTTTGAAGAAAATCCGAGATGTCCGTAGAAAACATGTAGAATATCCGAAGTGTCCATAGAATATCCAAAAAATCCGTAGAATTTCCGAGAAGTCCTTAGATCTTCCAAGAAGTCCGGAGAACTACTTAAGTCCGTAAAACTGCTGAAAAGTCTGTAGAATTTCCGAAAAGTTCATAGAATATCCGAGACATCCATAAAACTCCAGAAAAGTCTATAGAGCTGTGAGGTTTTGACCGTATCCCGTCGGAATCACCCAACCCTTTTGGAGAGCACGCACAACCTACCTGTTCAACTGCACTGCGACGAAAGAGAGGAGTCAAGGCTGCACACGCTCACGTGGGCTGATACGATGGTGGAAGGCTGATGACGTGGAAGTTGCTTGTCATTCTGCTTCTGCTGCGTCGCTGCGTTATAGATGTCAACTGACAGCGAGGGGTACATAATATAACTTCTAAAAAGTACATAAATCTTCCAAGAAGCCCATGGAAGTTCCAAGAAGTCTGTAGAGCTTAAGAAAAAAAAGTAGAAGGGTCTGTGCTTAGGGGCACGAACGAAAGCTTGACGTAGGACCGCTAGCGGACGGAATAAATGTGAAGAGCATTTAGTTCTTTTAATTGATCAATTATCTATTATCTCAACTCTTTCCGTTTTTGAATTGTAGGCGTACCAAATTTGTAGTAATTTTTTTTCAAAGAGAAAGTTGATTAAGAGAATCAATCAAAATCACTTGCACCCCTGCTTCCAAGTTTGGTTACAAGATTACATCTCTGGAGAGCATTTTGTGTGGTCGTTGGGGGCTTGTGGTTCTGAATATGGACAAACAAGCACAGATAAATTCTATTCCAACTCTTTACTGATGTAAGCTTTTATTGAAGAGGACATCCATGGCCACTTACGCTTGGCGTGTTTAGTGTAGGTGACAGCATCACGGACCTAATTTTCCAGGAACACTTTCAGCACACCTCGTTGATCAGACCGGAGATACGTTTGACACCACCACGGCGAGCCATACGACCGATGGCGGTTATCTCGAAGAACTTTGCGATGACGCTTGGTGCCTCCTTTACCAGACCTTTTCCTCCTTTGCCACGACCAGACAATTGTTGCTTGTTAGATGTGACGGAGTGGACTAGCCACCACCTTCCTACTGCTGCTATTGCTGTTCACCACGCCGTCCGAAGCGAAAATGAGCTGATACCATACAGCAGCGCTGTTTTATATCTTTTCAGGTTAAAGCAGAATGATGTGCAACCAAGTGGAATAAAAGCTACAAAGACTCCTCCCATTATGTGTAGTTTGCTATCAAGTAGCGACACTGCCTCTTTTCCTTTTGCGTATACGGTGAATAAGAACGACCCAAATTTGAGTTTAGTTCACTCATAATCGCCAAAAGTGCAGGAACTCAGCGATGAGTAAATTTGTCTCAATCTGCCTAAAAAATCTGCCAGAAAATGAGGAAATTGACGAAAATTTTATTCAGTCTCGGAGTAGTACCAATAGACTGAGTGAATCCAATCTTTACTTTTCTCAAATTCGGGAATTTTTCCCTGGAAAATCCTGGGAAAACATAAGGCAAATTTACTCATCGCTGAGTTCCTGCACTTTATTTCTTATTTCTGAGATAACTAAACTCAAATTTGGGTCGATCTCATTCGCCGTGATATCACCTTGAAAGATATCGGTTACCTCTCACCCCAGCAGGTCTGGGTCCAATCTCAGTCGGCGCCACCCGCATGTTCTAAGGCATAACATCTCTGATCACGCCTTCTTTCGGGAAGTAAAGCCGTTGGTCCCCGGTTCATGAGTTGATGGGTTGATAAGTAGGGTCCAGGTGTGGGAGCTGCCTCCCTGGCGTCGGTAGCATTGGAGCTTAGTACGGAAAACGAATCTCGCGTCACTTTTCAATAGGTCCTATCTACATTGATCGATTCTCTTCATCGATACTCTCTTTCGTAAATAACTCGGCTTCACAAATGTTTCCTGCGTCTTCGTCGAATTAGATGCTAGATTGTTGCTTCTTCCATCGAAAATATCCGGCCGTGG